TAGAGTTAGAAAACCAAAAGGGAAGAACATATTTGGCATTTCTCAAGCTGAAAGAACTGAAGAAAAAACTCAAGCCTTGAGTTGCAATACTGAAAGATTCTATGGGTGAAATATAAATAGAATGATGGAGGAAACATCAGAAGAAGATGGAAGGAATACACAGGGTCACTGAACCAAAAAGAATTGGTCAATGTCCATCCATTTCAAGAGGTGGCATATGATCAAGAACCATTGAAGGAAGAAGTCAAAGCTGCACTGAAGGAATTGGCGATTAACAAGGCTCCAGGATTTGATGGAATACCCATTGAGATGTTTCAACAAACAGATGCAGTGCTGGAGGCACTCACTCATCTCTGCCAAGAAATTTGGAAGACAGCTACTTGGCCACCTTTCACCATACTTATACAATCTGTATGCTGAGGAAATAATCCAAGATGCTGGACTATATGAAAAGAGCATGGCATCAGGATTGGAGGAGGATTCATTAACAACCTGAGATATGCAGACAACACAACTTTGCTTGCTGAAAGTGAAGAAGACTTGAGGCACTTACTGATGAAGACTAAAGACTACAGTTTGTAGTGTGGATTACACCTCAACATAAATAAAACGAAAATTCTCACAACTGAACCACAATAAGTAGCACCATGATAAATGGAGAAAAATTGTCAAAGATTTCATATTACTTGGTTCCACAATCAACATTAATGGAAGCAGCAGTCAAGACATCAGATAACATATTGCACTAGGCAAATCTGTTGAGGGTGGGGAGGGGGACCTGTTCAAATTCCTGAAGAAAAAGACGTCTCTTTAAAGACTAAGGTGCACCTAACCCAAGCCATAGTATTTTCAGTTGCCTCATATGCATGTGACAGCTGGACAATGAATAAAGAAGACCAAAGAAGAGTTGATGCTTTTGAGTTGTGGTGTTGGTGAAGAATACTGAAAATACTAAGGATTGCCAGAAGAACTAACAAATCTGTCCTGGAGGAAGTGCAGCCAGAGTTTTCCTTGGAAGTGAGAATGGCCAGACTTCGTCTCCCCTACTTTGGTCATGTTGTGAGAAGGGATCATCCCCTGGAGAAGGATACTATGCTCAGTAAAGTGGAAGGTCAACAAAATAGGGGAAGGCCCTCAATGAGATGGATTGGCACAGTGGCTACAATGACGGGCTCAGGTATAGCAAGGATTGTAAGGCCGGCACAGGACTGGGCAGTGTTTTGTTCTGTTGTACACAGGGTCACTATAAGTCAGAACTGACTTGGTGGCACCTAACAACAACAACAAGATCTAGGAACTTTAAATTAGTAACCCAACAAAAGGACACCATGCCCGGTAAAGTAGAGGGTCAGATAAAAAGAGGAAGACCCTCAAGGACATGGATTGACACAGTGGCTACAACAATGGGCTTAAATATGAATGCCTGTGGAGATGTTTTATTCTGTTGTATACAGGATCCTTTCAAGTAGAAATGGACTTTCGAGCACATACATAACAACCACCCAGATGACTGTATTCACTCTGAGGTATGTTCTGTTTGGCCAATGTAAAGGTTTCTGTCTTGTTTTCATTAACCCAACAGAGTGTTTATAAAGTTCTGAAATTAGATTCCCTTGGAAAAATGGAAAAAATTGACAAAACTGAGTCCATATTTGGAGCTGGCAATGATCAGATAATGTGGGGAACCCCTTTTAGATCTTCGGTTTCCTGACACCCAGGATTTCTCTCTGAGATTTTTCAGCTACCATTTGAACTGACAACTCCTGGTTTGACCTCCTCACTCAGTGTATAAGGAAACCAAAGAACACAAAGGTTATGGGAATTGCCTTAAGTCAGAGCTGGTTGGAAGCAGTGGAGGGCTCAGAAATATCCCAACAGAACTCGGTCCATAACAGACTGATCCGACTGGGTTGTCTTTGAATGGCCAAGGAACTGGCAGTGATGGTCACCGCAGGGTTTGGGTGAGAGTTTCAGGGTTGGAGCTATAAGCTGGGCAAGCTGCCCCCATTACCAGCCTCCTCCCGGGGGACCTTTTCCTCCACCGCCTCACACTGCCCTTGTGAAGACTCCCCAGGCACCAGCTCTCAGGCACGACGAGGTTGCTGTGCTCCGGCCTCCTTCCGCAGAAGACACCTTGAAGCAAGGGCGGGGACTCGCACTGGGCTCCAGCGGAAGACGGGATGCTTTGCCCCTGCACCAGCGACCCCGATGGGGTCGGTTCTTCGCAATCGCACCGTCGAAATTCAGCCTCTGCATCCCATTCAGACAGGGATGCAAAGGCGCAGAAAACTCCTGCAAGGAGTCGACCCCACCAGCTGAGGACTCGTGCCAGTATCGCCGGAGTTTCGTGCTCCCCTTGCCCTGGGTGCATCAGCGAGAGCGTGCGGCGTATTGCAGGACCCCGGCGCCCACCTTCCGCGCCCGCGCGGCCGCGGGCGGGGAACCCGGGGCGGAGTTGAGCGAGAGGCGGGGCGCTCGGGGTTGAGTTCGAGGCGCTGGGAAGAGCTAAGGGGCGGCACCAACTCCAGCAGGAGGAGAGGCCGCTACGCGAAGGGGCTGCGCCCTGGGCAAGAAAGAAAGAGGGGGCCCCGCCCGGCACGCGGCGTCTCCGAAGAGCAAGACCGGATCCCCGGAGCCGGACCCGAGCGGCTCCCACTCGCCTCCTCCCTCAGGGTCGCTGGGCAGCAGAGCTGCGGGGGAAGAAACGCCGAGGCAGGTAGGTGCTGCGCCGGGCGCAGTCGAAGGACTCCTAGCCCCGGGGTGTTGAGGGGCGTCGTCCGGGCAGGAGGCAAGGACGCCCACTTCTTTCTCTGGAAGAGTCAGGTTGCTTTCCACCCCGCCACTCCCGGGACGTACCCGGCAAGCACCAAGTAGGGAGTCGGTGCGGATAGACACCGCGGGGTCCAGGCAGGGGACTTAACAGCTGGGGCTAGGACAAGAGCGGGGTGGAGGGAGCTAGCGGGAGCCAAATTGTCTGGGCCGGTGTGGACCGAGAGGCACCCTCCTGAGAGGTGAGGAGAAAAGAGGAAGCCCTCTGGGACAAGCCCCGCGAACCGCATCCTATTCCCACACTCGCAGTCTTCTACTCGCCGGGAGGCTCCGCAGGCTTTGCTTTTCGAGCCAGAATTTCAGACTTGCTTCCCGCCGGGGCTAGGGCTGCACCTCCGGGGACCGCGCGGGCCGCGCCGGGAGGTTTACGAAGGATGGAAGGGTAAGGGCTGCTGGAGCTGGCGGGTCCAGGGGCAGAGAGTTGTTGTTGTTGTTGTTTGCCGTCGAGTCGGCCCCGACTCATAGCGACCCCTCCTTGGGTTTCCGAGGCAGTATCACTACGGAAGTAGGAACCCTGTAAGTGGGACCCGGACCTGTCCGGCCCGGGCTCATGCCCTCTCCTTTGGAGCATGGGAAAGGGGACAGAAGACAGACGAGGGTAAAAGCCGAGGTTTGGAGCCTCGCATGGGACAGAGGCAACCCGGAGGAAGGACACCCCGGGAGCGGACGCCACAGGTATTGGAGCTCACTTCCCAGAGGTTTCCACCCGGGGCACGCAGCAAGCGGGCACTCCGAAAGTTGGGGATGCTTGCCACCCCCTTTGAGCGCTGTCCTTTTCTGGGGGCGGGGGCGGCTGTTGCCTCGTTCTCCCCCTCCCCTCAGGGGCCGACCAAACTTGCTTTCCTGTTTGGTCCGCTGCATGCTACCAGCACCCCCGCAGAGAGGCGGGGAGGGTTCGTGGCTGGAAGGTGGGGGCCTTCCATCCCGTGGATGTCGGGGTACAGGTACTTTCTCTGGTCCCTCATGACGCCTTCAACCCTAGGATGCCCCGTCTCCCAGGGCTCAGAACTTGAGAGACTCTTCCCTCCCGTGGGCATCTTAACACCAAGAGCCTAAAGGATTCACTAAGGCAGTTGACAACGGTTCAGCCCTGCGGCTCTCCTGTTGTTGTTGTTGTTGTTGTTATGTGCCTTCGAGTAGGTACCCTCATTCCACCTTTGAAGTCTGTTTTCTGTTAAGCCATGTATTGGAGCAGCTGCCACTCCCAGAGGACACAGGTTTAGGTGACAAGAGGTGGTGCCTCTCAGCCAGGGCTGATTCTAGGTGGTCAGTAAGGGGCCTGGTGAGGGGAGAGAGGATACAGATCCTATCTAGTTGGAGTTAGGTGGGGGAGAGAAAAGGTAGACAAAGTATTTCTTTCTGAAGTTGGTTCCCAAAGAACAAGGAAGCAGGCAGAGAATTCCCTCTCATCCCCTCCCCCCCCCCACACACACACACAGACACACAGCAGCATCCTGATCCAGTTCATTCATTCAATCAACAAATTCTTTTCCAGCCTCCACTCTGTGCCAGGCCCAGGCTGGGCAGCAGGAATTTGTTTTATAGGAAGATTAGGACTCAGGAAGTATAAATCACCACCTCAAGATGACTCAGCCTGCCCATATGAAAATGGATTTGGTGATTTCCAAATCAGTGGTTTGGCCAGGACAGAGGGAGCAGTGCCTCGCTTTGGAGGAAAGACCCTCCTATGTCCTAGCCCTCCTACTTCATTATCCCTGGCCTGATGCAACTTTGGCCTCTGTAGCCAGATGGGCCAGCTGCAGAAGCCCTGTGGAAGTAATGTTGTAGGAGAGGGGATCCTGGACAGCCAAACCAGCCCTGCCCCTTGGGAAAAGAGCAAAAGATATCCATTCTTGGATGTTTCTGGAGAGTCCAGTCCATCCTATGCCCAGTGGGGGATTTCTCAACTGCCAAATCTCTTATCCCTCTTCCCAGCACCCTGACTAGATCTGTCTGCCAGTAGACAATGGCTCTGGTTGACCTGCACCTGGGGGATTCTAGGGGAATGCTACTAGCTGTTCTCCTGCAGGCTGCCCACTGATTGTGTTTCCTTCCAGGATCCAAGATGGCATGTTGTCTCTCCCCAAGGATGTGGGCAAATGTGCTGGGCTTACTGATCCCGTGAGTACAGAGGGTCTGGACACCCAGCTTGAAGCACTTAGACGCCCCCACAACTCCCTAGCACCACTATATATGGCCATCACCATGGCAGCCCAGAATGGAAACACTAGTTTTGCACCCAACTTCAATTCACCCCAAGACCATGCCTCCTCCCTTCCCTTCAACTTCAGTTATGGTGATTATGACCTCCCTCTGGATGAGGATGAAGACATGACCAAGACCAGGACTTTCTTCGCAGCCAAGATTGTCATTGGCATGGCACTGGCAGGCATCATGCTGGTCTGTGGTGTTGGCAACTTTGTCTTTATTGCCGCCCTTGCCCGCTATAAGAAGCTACGCAACCTCACTAACCTGCTCATTGCTAACCTGGCCATCTCCGACTTCCTGGTGGCCATCGTCTGCTGCCCCTTTGAGATGGACTACTATGTGGTGCGCCAGCTCTCCTGGGAGCATGGCCACGTGCTCTGTGCCTCGGTCAACTACCTGCGCACTGTCTCACTCTACGTCTCCACCAATGCCCTGCTGGCCATCGCCATTGACAGGTGAGGAGGTTGGGCAAGAGTAACAGAGGGGGGCCAGGCCAGGCTGCTCCTTTTCTCACTTAAGATCAGACAGGTTGGCATTACCCCAGATTTGAATAGTCATTGATCTGTAAAGGGGCAAGAGGAGAACATACTTCTCCACTTGTGGCCCACATTCCCCAAATGTGGGCAAGGGTAAGGCTCCTGAGCCCCCAGCACTATGCCCCTAGATACTCACTGGCTTCAGGTAAAGGCATGCCGTGTGACAGTGACACAAAAGCTAAAACATAAAGTTCAGGTGGCTACTACCTGAGAGTTAAGCCAGCTTCCATTTAAGACAATATACACCAAGTTATTCTGGTAACCACCCCCCAGATCAAGATATAGAACATTTCCTCCCCTAGAAGATTTTCTCGGGCTCCTTGCCAGTCAGTCTTCCTACCTCAGGCAACCACTGATCTGAATTCTACCACCCTAGTTTAGTTTTGCTTATTCTTTAACTTCATGAGCACTCATTCCTTACTTTTTAACATGGTTAGGTTACAAAGACCAGGTCGTTATGTGAAAATCAGCATTATGTGAGAGGCCATGCCCCGTCTCTGTTGTCATTGTTGCCCTCATTTTTGACTGCCCATTGGGAATCCCCAAGTGCATCTAGGGATGTGTGTGGCACAGTGGCCCCCTTCCCCATCACACCTTCCCCACTGCAGAACCCAGTGAAGGGGGGTGGTCAGGGGTTTAACTGACACCTCTGGAGCACCAGAGGCCCACCATGACCTGGCACTGAAGGTCTCCACGTGTACCCCATGGCTTGCCTCTTCACCTTCCCGCTTTGCCAGCTGAGGAGATGGGTCTTGGTGACAGGCGGCTCCTGGGCCTGCGTGCAGGTAAAGCCCTGGGCCCAGTGGAGATTGTGGAGATGGCAGAGAGGCCTCTTTGAGAGAAGAGACTTTCTAGCCTCTGACCAGACTCCGGTGGCTCCCACTCCTGCTGCCTCCTTGTGGGCTGGCAGCCCACTCATGTGCACCACCTACTGAGCCTGACTTCTCCCCACTGCCCTACGTGAGTAATACAATCACAAGACCTTGTTCATCTCATAAACTTTCTCCTCCTCCTCCTCTTCCTCCTCCCCCTCTTGCCTTGGCTTCTCATTAATTCACAAAATAATCAGATAGATTTTTCACTATTGTTGTAAATACGAAATGTCAGATAATGAGACAGTCAATAAGTGAAGGGTAGGTGTATACTGAATCATACAGTATATAATCTTGTTACTAGAGACCTTGTTCCAGAGCTGATTTAAAAATAAGGTAGAAAAAGAGAAAGGACATGTTTGCTTTTCTTTTTTTACATACATCTGGGTGCTCATTTGCATACATTTGCATGAGATGTTCAAGAAGTCCTTGCTCTGTTACCAATTTGTAAAGGAAAATATGTAATAGCAGCCTATGACAAATCTTACATATGTTTCATTTATATGAACCATTGGTGTTAAGCAGCAGCCTGTTTCGTTGGTGTCATGTCTTTTTGTTTATTGTCTGTCCGCCATTATGAGCCATGTTGAAACTCATTTTGATGATGTGCTTTTAAATCACCCTATTTCCCTTTTGTTTCCTTCCAACGTTTTAATTTTTCCCTGGTTCTCAGGGCTATTTAGGTTTGTTGTTCATTTTAATCAACCAATTTATTATTTTTGGCTAATGGTGATAAAATACACATGCAGGTGTAAAAAGTGTCTTGCTTTTTATAACATGCAATTGCGGCAGGAAAAACAATTTTGTTATTACAACGCTGAAGGTCACTAGCTCCAAAACTGATGTTTATAAAATGTGCATCTATCAATGGACTGCGCAAAACGCACTAGAGGAAATGATAAGTCAGATTCCCAGTCCCCCAAGCCCTACTGAGTGGGAATCCCATGGACTGAATTTTTATCCGATTCCCTGTATGATTCTGATGCTTACTATAGTGTGAGTATCACTATTCTTATCCCCTTTGTTTTATTGAAATCTTTGTCTTTGTAACATGGTTTTTGGTGTCTTTGGAGTTTCTTGGGAAACACCTACCCTCTTAGGACTCAACAGAGCAACAGATAACAGAGCAATTCCTTTTTCACCCCAAACCACCTCTGCTCCAGTCATCCCCCAGCTCTACAGCAGTTCCATCATTCTCCCAATCATCCGAACAGGAAATATCACTCTGGTTTTCACCCTTTTCCACCTCTGCCCACCCCTCCCCTTGTGGCTAGCCCTATACCAAGTCCTGGCAATTTTCTTGGCAAGTCATGGCTAGACCATTGTAATGTTCTCCAAACCCACCAAGGCCTCTTGACTGTCCACTAAACTATGCTGATGAATATTAAGCATTCAAATGTCATCACCACTGATAAATTTTTCTAAAGCACTTCATTGCTCACAAAACTTCCTACAGGTCATGTGTCCACAGACTACATGCCAAATCCTGAGTCCAGCATTCTTTTTAATCTGATTCTCTCTTTCCAATCTTACATTCTTCATGGAGATACAGATTCTTTCCCAAAAGACATTGTATTTTAAGCACATTAACCATGTCTTCTTTTTGTTTCCACAGTTTCTAGCACACAGCTTTATATCTGTGTCTTAGTGTGGATTGTGCCCCTAAAACAGACCCTGAGACAAGATTTATATGCAGATAGCACACAAAAGAACCTAAAGGGGTATGGAAAGTGAAGAAAGGAAAGGTAGGCAGCAGATAAAGGGGGCATTGTTGAGCAAGTTTCCACTATGAACAACTAGAGCTTATTCTTACTGAAGAACTCTTACATCCAGTGGAGATAACACCTTGATGTTCTCCCAGGAACAGGAGGGGTGAGGGAGCTGGGAGATTGTCTTATACTATGTTCTCTAGAGGAGCAAAACCAGTGAGGTAGGTAGATAAATAGGCAAATATTTGAAGGAAATGGCTCATGGAGTTTGGAGGCTAGCAAGTCCCAAATCCGTGGGTCAGGCATCAGGCTGGAGACTTCTCCTGATTCATGTGGTTCCAGGGGCTAAAATAACCCAAAATTGGCAGGTCAGGTGGCAGGCTGCTGGGTCATATTCCAAGTACCAGAGGTCAGAAGATGACAGGTCAAATGCAAGATCAAAAGAGGGTGAGCTTTGCCAGAACACCCATATGTATGGCCTCACCTCCAAAGAAACTCCCCTTTCAATTGATTGGCTGTTCACATCAGTTCACAAAATGGAAGATGATTACATAGTGTCTGAAAACCATTGAAATTCATGGCCTGGCCATGTTGATACATAACCTTAACCATCACAGTCCGTAGTCAATTGGTCACCTGTACACATCTCCTTAAACCATACATAACCTCTAAATAGACAATTATAGTCATACTTGTGGCTAACATGATACAACTAACATGAATGTAACTGAAAACGTACTAGCGCTCTTTACATCTATAATAAATAATGGAATAAAGAAGGGAAGAACACAAAGATAGTGTTCTAGTTACCTAGTGCTGCTCTTATGGAAATACCACAAGTAGGTGGCTTTAACAAACAAGCATTCATTATCTTACAGTTTAGGAGGCTAGAAATCCAAGTTCAAAGAGCCAGCTCTAAGAGCTGGGTGAAAGCCCCTCAACCTTGGGGTTCAACTCTGCCTCTCGCTCCTGGCCCACTGAAGCTAGAGGAGTGGGAGCAGCTTCTTTAAACTCAGGCAGCTGCTGGCTGCTGAGGCTGACAAACCCAAGATTGACAAAGTACAATGGCACAGTCCCAAGATTATCAAACAACACAGCAGCCACTAATTCAAGTCCAGAAACAGTCCCAAGATAGTCTGCACTCAGCATGACAGACTGCTGAATGAAGACTCAGCAGGTTCCAAGCATGCCAAGAAGCTCAGAGACCTTTCTCAAAGCTACTTCTTATACTGGAAGCAGACCACATCCCTAAGGCAGCTACTTAGCTGCTCCAGTAGATTCTACCATGGAGTTGATTACCAGTCTCATCATGGGGAATAACTACATCCAGCTGCCCAGCCACTCAAAACCAGGCCCAGCCAAGCTGATACAAAACTACCACAGATAGTTTATGTATGTGTGTGTGTGTGTGTGTACATAGGTTTGCACTGCATAATGTCTGTTTGGACAACCCCAGACTGTATATGTGTCCATGATGCCATAGGTTTTTGTCCCCAAACAACCAAAAAGAATTTTTTGGAGACAGTGGGCATGCAGAGCTGGGCAACCATGTGGGAATGAGGGCAGGAGAAAGCCCTTCCCACTAGAGCCTTAATGTAGGCTAGTGTCCCTTGCCGGCCCACATGACTGTCTTGCCCACTCTTGTTACTGGATCTTCTGGTGTTGGATGAGCTGTGAGCTCTGGCCAAAGGCTTTGCCACAGATGCTTCAGGTTAAGGGCTTCTTGCCCATGTGGTTCCAGGTGCTGGAAGGAGTGGCAGCAGCCACAGAAGGCCTTGCTACACTGTAGCACTCATAGGGCTTCTCATCTGTGTAAATCCACAGGTGTTTGATGAGCACAAAGCTCCAGATGAAGGCCTTGCCACACTCATTGCAGGTGTATGGCTTCTCACTTATGGGTAGCCTCTGGTGCCACACCAGGTTGGAACTCTGGCTGACAGCCTGACAGCACTTGTACTGCTTCTTGCCACTGTGGATGTGGTGGTGGTGGATGAAGCTGTACCAGCCACAGAGGTGCTTGCCACACTTACGGCAGAGATAGGGCTTCTCACCCATGTGGAGGAGCTGGTACTTAAGCAGCAGCAAGTTGTGTTTGAAGATCTTGCCATAGGTCTTACAACAACACAGCTCCCACCCCACTGAGTGCCCTGCCTGTCTCCAAAGCCCACACTCAAGCCAAAGCCACTGCCCAGCTTAACCTGCTCAGGCTACCACTGGTCCCTGGGGCTCCCTGCAGCAAGAGTGCCATGTGCCAGGCACCCATCTTCTGTGTGCAATGTCCAGCCACTGGTTGCTGACCTGCAGGCCATTCCAAACTGGCCTCTGGCCCAAAGCTGTC